GAGTATTGCTACTACTATCATAGAAGCTAGAAACAAACGAAAAAGACGGTGGGCTATCCGCACTGCTTCCCCTATTTCCTCCCTAAACACTCCTAAATCCTTACAACTTTTTAGTTTTGTACACAAACAAATCTAAACGACCAACTACTCTTACCGACCTTGAAGTAAGCAAGTACATACGTTGGCATGCCATGCTCGCAGAACATGCAATTCGAGCTCCTGCAGCCAACCGACAACTGTTCGGCTGCTGGGTTTTCTAGCCGGCTGGGCTGCTGCTGCTTGGACCTTTCGATGTTTTTGTACTTCTTAGACCACGGCCCCATCGTGAATCTTCGGTAGCCTTGAATCATTCAAGTCCTGCTTCACATGTTGATGGAAATGGAGTGTTTCTGCCCCTGCATCAGCTAATATAAAGTTGGTTCTCCTTGTTCTTCTGCACGGTAAGATAAAGAGGCACACATTGAGCACACCATCTTAGTTTGAGATTTCATCTTCTTATTTGTGAAAAAAGGTTTTCTCTGGCTTTCCAGAGTTCCCAGCAAACGGCTTCCAACGCGTATTACTCTAACAAAATCCTAGGTCTCATGTCACTCTTGCTTGGGCGGCATCCACAACCACAACCATCGCCACCAAGCTTCTCCCCCTCTCGCGTTCTCAATCCTGTAACCACTAGAACCTAGTAAGCATGGTGGCTGCAAGGATATCTCCATCTTTTCCTCTCTCCGGTCGAGGTGGCCTGGAGATCGAGGCATGTGGTGGAGAAAGGCTGCAGGGCGGGCGTGGTGGTCACCGGGCACGGATCCGGATCCGTTGCAGGTAGGTCCGGCTGGCATTGTCCCACCTAGATATGGTGCACTTACGTCTGGAGTTTGTCGTTGGTGGTCGTGATACAGGCCACGATGGCTGTGTTCGTGCAGCTCTTTGGTGGTGATGATGAGCTCAGCGGCGATGGGTCTGGCCAGACATGGACATTCTACCATAGAAATTAGATAGGGTTCTATCGATGAACCGCCTCTAAAAATGGTTTAAAAATGGTTTCTGAGTCAGCTTGTCTTTAGAAATCAGTTTTTGACGGTTAATGTTTTCAGCCATCGCTAACATGCCCTCTATTTTTTGAGGGGCTTGCTTTTCCAACCGGATCTAGAGATAGTGGCATTTTAAAAGGCAGTTCAAAATATAGCCCACCTCTTAAAATAAATGCAGCATTAAAAAAACATAACCTTCTCAAAGCAACTTAAATGAAGACAAATTTTATATCAAAGTTATGGAGCTCGAAAAGATCTACAACTTATTTGTATTTGAAGATCTTTTTTCATTTAAAATCTCAAAGAGATCTATAACTTTGTATAGTTGAAGACTTTTTCATTTAAGTCATTTACGGTCTCAAAATTATGATTGAAGTTCTTTAATTTTGAAATTCAATTTTTTAAGAATTTAAAATGACCTCATAGGGAAAGACACCCTAAAGCAAAGTTGTAGTGCTAGACTAAATCTAAAGCTTTGCAGTTTAAACATTTTTCATCTGAAACTATTTAGAGGCCGAAATAGTCCATACAAGATTCTTGAAAGTTAATACTATACATGATTGCATCCACAATTGATTGTGTGGTGTGGTGGTAAGGCGGGCTCATGGTTTTGAGTTCAATCCCCACGGACCGCACGCGAGCCTATTCCTAAATTGGTAGGTAGATGTGGCCTCGTCTACATGGTTGGTGGTGTCTTTGCTAAGGCGTGCAGGTTGTGGCAGATTGCGTCCAAGTCAATGATTCGGGCATCAACGATGGAGGAAGATGATTGATACTTGAGATGTGTGCGTGACACACAATGGGGTGCCCTCTGCGCAGTGGTGTGTGGCACTCAAAGAAGACGACAAGTGATACGGTGGCGTCCAAAGTTTACGATGAGTGGCCGCAAAGGGACATGGAAGCTGACAGGTGTGGAATCATGTAAGCGTACGGTGATAGACTGATAGTCCTGCATAGCAATGGCTATCTTAGTGCAAGACAACTTTGGTGCAAAAGTTGGGATGTACAGGTTGATGTGGATGGGGTCTTCAACGAGGTTGATAAATCTATGTTGCTTAGGTTTAAGGTCAAGGATGTTATATGGCCTGTTCGCTTGGTTGATAAGACATGATTGAAAGTATTGTTGGCTAATTTATTGTGAGAGAAAAATATTGTTCGTTGACAGAAAAATACGATTTATAAGCCAAGCGAACATGACGCTGGTCTTTTGGCATATGGGAGCAACGTGGCGACAAATAGAGGCAGCTATATGTGAATCGTCATTTTGCTTGCAACAGGTTGTGACAGCTAGCCCTATTTGGCAGTGGTTAGCTTAGTGTGTAACAGTGTGAAAAGAGGGCACAAGTAACAACGATAGGCGGAGACCTAGCGGCTTGCGGCAGCTAGCAAGCAAAGCAGCGACTTGCACTGTGCGGAATAACATTGCAAGATGCATTGCAAGATGGTGCAAGCTAGAACTATGGCTTGTCCTGCAAGATGATGTTTCTTTATCTTGGCCAATGTTGGTGTGGTCTCTCCGGTGGTCGTAGAGGTTTGGATTTTGGTTGCTATGGTAAGCTCAGTTGATCAGCCTATTCGTTTGCTTAGGCCAATCGACTGAAGTCGTTGTTAGCGTGGTTGAAAGTGTTGTTACTATTGTAATTGCTGTAATAATTTTTCATTAGTTGTTTTCCCTGTTTGAGTTTGTTTGTACTTTTTAATATAACCTGTAGCTTTTCTGTTTGATTTTGTAAGTGTGTTCTTGGTTTATTCGCATTGCTGTGAAACCTGCTGCGGAAGAGTCAATGCAAATTGTAACGAATCATCACCTAGTGGGCTTCATAATCATACCAGATCGGGCTTACATGATGTTGAACATGATTCAGGTCCAATGGGTCGTTGCAGTCACGACGATGCAGATGGCACTGAGGAGGTGCCGCTTGCTACGCGGCTTGGCCATGCCTGTAGAGATTGGACGATTCAGTGACCCCATAAACGCTAGGTCACTTTTAATTTTATAGTCCCTTAGTTCTAATTTGTAAGTCATTTTATCTTTTCTAGCTATGTATCTACAAAGTCAGAACGACTTATAATTTGGAATAGAGGAAGTAACTTGTATGCACTTTTCAATCTTTTCATCCATATTTATCTTGCTAGACTAGATAATGGCGTTCGTCATGAAAATATTAGCGATCCAAGAATTTTAATTTTATTCTAAACTATAAGAGATTAAGAGTAAGTTAAAATTCTTTTCATTAATTAATTCTAAAAATATTGGATTGCTTACTTTTTAGGACGGAGGCGGTACTACTCTCACAAACAAAATACTATTCCTCTCTTTAGAAAAGGAAGAAAAATAATGTCATCTATCTATAAAAGACTATAAATTTGAGGGTGTCCCATCGCAAATACCGTTCATCCGACGCGCCCTGACCCAGATCACTGTACATAAACAGTACGGATCACGATGAACATTACCCGATCCGCTAAGGAACAGTACCATCCTTTTTTTTTTGTCCTCACAGCGTCCACTGTTGCCCGTGCGCGAAAGCGTGGGTTACCTGCTAGTTTGATATATTTATGTACAAACCTGATATTACATATCTTTGTGTTTGACTAGATTGGAGTAATATTTCAATTGGTTTTTCAGTCAACCAATCACACTTTCATGGTCGAGATATGGATAAGCTCATATTTTCTCTTCAAACCCATCGAACAAATATAATCTTGTTGTGTTCCTCATCCTGGTGGTCGCTTTAAAAGGGTGCCTACTATTTAAAAGTAGAACATCAATCAAACAGATGGAACCATAGGATGCCTTTTAGAAGGAACTGCTTTTACGTAGTATAATTTTCACAGCAGCTTAGATTGGTTTCGACTTTTGTTTTTTCCAAATGAATGAAAATGAAGAGATGTTTAACAATTGTTCAAGGGAGATAGAGAGATGGATCTTTAATAGTAGTTTTAACCAAATAGTTTACACCTTTTTCACAATACATAGCATACAACAATTTTTCTACGGCTCACGGTTGAATCAAACAAATCCCTGCATTAATTCCATCCACCCTCGCATATTGTCCAAGGCATCGGGGACACCAGCACCATCACTACCCACACTATGGATTAGGGATAAAAGTGGCAACAGAAAATCCAATTTTATGAGGTTTATTTAGGCAAAATTGATACCATTTCTGACCTTTTTTTAATCATTTACCATCTGTTATTGTTGTACTTGAGAGAGCTATCTTGTATTCTTGTTGTACTCTTTGTATGCAGTTCTTCCTTTACTGTCATAGCTAGTCTCACGGTACGTTCTTTTTGGGCCTACAGCATGGCCTGTAACTTAAACTTTTGTTTTTCCTATCTTATTAACTGAATTGAAACTTGAAAGGCATATATATGCCTTTGCCAGATTGTTCAAAAAAAAAATCATTACCATATATAAAATTTGAATTTTCTAGTTCTTTTAGGGCGGTATATATTGCAACTGTAACTAAATAGTTAAGTTGGCAAATTAAATATCAAAAATTTCTGACCAACTAGAAACTTTTTGTATATTTAATATCGTTGTCGACAATGCTTCAAAGCACCAAAACCGCAACCCCCTCAACCTTAATCACCCCACCTGTGTTATTGAAGCGTGAAAAAAAAGGTGCGTTAGAACTTAGAAAATGATACAAAGGAGAGCCATGTTTTGAATCGTGATAATAGTGTGCATGCATCCATTTTTTCGGCGACATCTAAGATTCATGGACTTTATGATGGAAATATATAAGCTCCACGGTCATCTTTACTATAGCGAAGAGAAAGTGCAGAGGTGCCTCATGCCATGCTCCTGTCCTGTCCTGTGCTTCAGATTTATCCATGGCATATACCTCGATCCCATACGTCCCAATGTCAATAACATTATTAGTAGAATTAATCTACGAGCAAGTCTGGAGGTTATTATACGCTTGTGCACGGTAGAAACCACAATACTTCGTCGTTTGAACGAGGCTAGTCGCTGGCCTGCAGCCTCTGGAGCAGCGTCATGCGAAGACCTTCGTCGTCCTGGAGCGCGGTGGCCCCCCGGGGCACGTCGACGACAACATCCTGCGTGGTCACGCCGTGCACGCGGCTCACGCACGCGTGCTGTACCTGCAGCTCCAGCGACCGGAGCGCACCCATCAGCAGCGCGGGTGCGTGGCGCGCGCCGCTCGTCACGCGCACCACGGCCGTGTCCCGGCCCACCTCCCGCACGTACAGCTCATCGTCGACGACGCCCGCGCCTTGGTCGCCGTCGCCGTCGCCATCGGCGCTCCGCTCCCACCTCGCCACGGCGGCGTGCCTGGCCTCGGACTCGAGCTGCGCCACGCGGGCGCGGAGTTCGGCAATGTACCGCGCGGCGTCCGCGAGGAGGGAGGCCTTGTCCATGCGCGACACGGTGGGCACGGCGGCGCGGAGGTCGCAGAACCGGCGGTTCAGCTTCTCGCGGCGCTGCCGCTCGGACTCCACGTGGCCGGCGGCTGCCCTGGCGCCCGGGCGCGGCCCTGGCTTCCGGCCCCGCCGCTTCGCCGGGCGTTGCGGAGCCGGCGCTGAGAGGCTCGGGAGCAGCTTGGCGAGCTCAGAGTCAGGGGAGAGCACGCCGCCGTCCGCCGGCATCTCCCACAGGCAGGCGCCAATATCATCGTTCTCGTTCTTGCCCACAAGGACATCATCAGCGAGCAGCCACTGCTCCGGGACTTCGCAGGAAGGTAGTTCGAGAATCATGCATGACGGCTCGGAAAAGGAGAACGAGGCGGGTACCGGGGAGGACGGGGAAATAAGCTTATCCATGGCAGCTTACAGCGTCGTCGCTACTCGCTACGCTAGCTCCTCACACGTACAGCCGCAACACAGCTGAAGCCTGAAGGTGGCAAATAGCGACCATGATGACTTCCTGAGGATGAGGTTTTATTTATATTGGCGCTCAAGCTCAGCTTTCACAATTCACAAAGATGCCAATGTCAAGCATCTAAGCATTGTTCGGGTCTGCTTATACAGCTATAGTTAGTTGTTGACTAATAGTTCGTCGCTAATATTATATACCTAGTAGGATGCTATTTGATCCGTCAACTAAAAGGTGGATACATTTTCTTTTCTATTTATTATTGTGGGGCACGTAGATAGAGAGAGATGAAAGGGTAAACATGTATTTTTCGCAATCTATTAGCCACCATTAGATGTGTTAGGATAGCTATGGAAAAAATTGTTAGCAACTTGTCAGCTAATAGTTAGCAGACTTATTAGCTAGATCGATTTGAACCCACTCTAGCTAACTATTAGCATCTAACTAGCTAAGATATTAGCTAGAAGGATCCAAACAGAGCCTAAGAATTCAGTGATGCTTCTAGATGGCATGAACAACACTAAGTTGCAGTGACTAAAAGAAGGAAAAACATATGCATATATGTAGTGGTTGGTTGGCTACCTAATTTTCCGGCTAGGATTTATTAGTACGTACCATCCTAGATCAGTCTTTGTGGGTTTGTTTGGTTGCTTGGCTAAGTTTAGTCCAACCCTATTGGATCGTGTTTGGTTTTTATGGCCAGTTTGGTGGCTACACTATTTAGAGTTTAGAACACATGTTTTCACACCCTAATAAATTTTGACAGGTTAGGTTTTAGACTAGAAGGATCTTGCTGGAATCAGCTAACATGTACCTCTAGACGGACATCCAAACACCATAAGGCCGGGTGTGGTCTAGGCCGGGTGACCAGCCGCATTGCCGGTTTGGGGTTAACCGGGCAACCAATAACTGTCATAGTATGAAACGTGTCCTTTGCCACCTAGAAAGGAAAAGACGAATCTCAGATGGGTGGATACAGTATATCAACCGAAATAAATTGCACATTGGCAGCCGGATAGAAAGACATTATACGTCATGTAGCTTCGCTGGAGTACTTATGTACTTGATGACGAGGCATCCTCTACAACTACAAGTTGTGCACATCAAGGGCTGAATCACGCCAACGTGGACGGTCGGAACGGAGGACGTTGGGTACCATACCAAATATGATGGGCTGTTTTAACAGTTAACACTAGTATAAATATGATACTTTATCCATCCCTAAGAAAAGGTCACTCTACCATTCAAAATTATGTCCCCAAAACATTATCATTCTAACCCCCTTGTATATGTGCAATGTGCATGCTGCACGTCCCTTGGCAAAGGCAACTACATGCATCAAATAGGGGCAACCAAGGGCATTTTACCGATTTTTTCTATTTAGATTTTTAAATTATATTTTAAAATAGTTGTATTCCAATTTTATTTTTATTTCTAACTATTTTGGCTACGCCAGATCACATGGTGTGATGAACTCACTCCATCGTATCACATGTATTACCATAGCAAGGTATGCCACTCTAGACCAATCCATTAACACATATTTCACGAGAAAAGTTTGCCACGACACTCTATAGGAAAGTTTGTCGTGGCAAGGCTAGTGCGGCAACTCTATTTTAGCACACCACCTAGACCGTTATGGTAAGGCTACATTTCTACCTTAGAAAAAATCTCTCTATTACCATGCATGCTATGTACATGACCAACGCCAACCCTAAGGTAGCCCCTTTGACTCCAAAGGCCATGTCCGCTAAGGCCTTCCACATTGTACTCCTAGAGTAATGCCCAAAACCCCGTCTTTTTGCTTTAGGCATCCCTTCCTGCATTGCAGCCCACCGATGCCAAATTCTCAAGATTCTGGAGCGGCGCAAGATGAAGCTCCGATGCCTGGCAATTAAAGAAGAATATTTTCTTGTATTCGGTGAGAGAAGAGATGGTTTTGGCCCTGTTCATCCATCCAGTCCGGTGGCGGGTGGCTTTCGATCGCGCATCGTTCGTTTGTCATTGTCAACGTCGCTTGCTAGGTTGGTTGCCGCCACTTCGCCGTCACGTGACGGGCGCGTCGTGCCCGCCGCGGGGAGCCCAGACGATCGAGCCGACACGAGCAGGGGAAAGCCTCGCCTCGTTTCGGGCGTTACGTTCAGGGGCAGGCCATCACGATGTCACATGAGCGAGAGTAGACAGCATGTATATGGGTCCCATACATGCACATAGCTCCGGTTTCAAGTAGGAAGAATGATGCCCGCTTTTTCGGTCCGTATTTTTCTAGCTCTCCTTGCACAGTGTGGAGGACCTAAGTATGAGACCTGGATTGGCTTATAACTAGGCCCTACACCAAAATAAAAAAAAAGTTATCGATGTTATCTTATTTACTGCTACTTCACTACGCAGTCTACACTGCTGCCGTACCATTCCCCATCACCACCTCCATCTCAATCCACCGTTTCTGCAGCCATTGCTCACCGATTCTGCATCGTCCAAAGCCCATCAGCCTATGCCACCATCGTTTACCGCATTTGGGTCCTCTGCTTCCCCACTGCCCCAACTGCCATGGGAGGGGACAAAGAATGGAGTTGTGTCTGGTTGGGCGCTAGTCAGAAGAAGCTGCGTGGTTCTCGTCGCAGTTATCTCGATCGGCTGCCAATCACGCCCTTCCTGTTCCTTCTCCCTCCTTGGCCTTACAGGGCATGCCGGTGGCAACCACCTGCTTGTGATGCATTCTACTAGCAGCTACTCCATGTTTTTTTACTGTTGTCTATTCGTAAGTTCGGGTATCAGACTTGAGACCCTGGCCACAAGCTAATTTGCACTTAAAGGTCAATCTTGCAGTGTTTGAGGTCAACCTCAAAAACGTCACATCTATAAGGATCATGTGTCCTTGATCATACAAGCTTAAGACTAACATGTATGCGAAAGATGTGTTAGATTCTAATTGGTCAAAGGGATGCAAGGTTAAAGTTTAATCAAGATTCTGAGTTATTAGAAACGGAAAAGAAACAACTTGGACGGCTAAAGCATGTTCCTATCCCTCCCGTCTACTCCAGCCCATCACGCATGGCCTGCGGACAAGGCACTGCTGCGGTAGCCAACAGCACAAGGGCGTGAGGGCCTGGGCGGCCCGGGCGACGGCGGGCATAGTGTGCGCGCGGCTGTGCAGGACGGCGCAGCGCAGGTGGCCTGAAACGCGAGGTCGGAGCGACGGCGGTGGTCTTCACCGAGCTCAAGCACACGGCGGGGCATGCTCAGCCGGGACATCAATCTCCGGCCGTACATCACGGAGACACGTTCCGCGCGGCCCTATGGCATCGTGGGGTCACGGCGAATTCGGCGGCGTTTCACGGTGAGCTCAAGAACGATGGTGGCGGTGAAGCGATCGGGCCGCGGGGAATCTCCTCACACTCTTGCGGATGCGCCCGCGGCTTGTTTTATAACAGACGGGCGGCAGCGGATCGAGAACTCGAGGCGGAGGCAGGCAGGATTCAAGGGCGGCGGCGCGGACGGAAACAGAGGGCACGGAGCGCTCGGTTCGGTGCAGAAACCTTGGGGTTCGATCTGGCGGCGCACAGTAATGACTTCGGGTCTAGTCTGTCCTCGGCGTCCGTACGTCAGTGCGGGCAGTTTTGCGCCGGATCGAGTCGAAGTCGGTGGCGCGGTCGAGTTCTAAGTCCGGCTCTGCCGCTGCTTGCGGTTGGGATGGAGAAGAACAGGGACAGGGGATGACCGTGGGCCCGCTCGGTCAGGGAAACAATGAAGAAGAGGTGCTGGCGGCCGGCCTTACTGGGCCATGACCCAGCCTGCAAGGGAGGAACGGTGCGTGTAGCTGGTGCGGGAGTCCTTAGCGGGCCAGCTGACGGAGTTGGAGCGGGACGCTGCGGGCCGGCAAGCACCCAAGGGCTGGGCCATTCAGGCTGTAAACAAAAGGCAGGTCAAAACGCAGAGAAAGAAGAAAAGGAAAAGGACAACTTCTCTATATTATTTTTAAACTATTTAGGTTCGAAAACTCAAAATTTGTACATAAATTTAAAAGTTTTAATTTTAAACACACTTGAAATATTTAACGTTTCTCAAATATATTATAAAATCCTTTTTAAACTTTAATTTTAAATGATCAATCTAAAACTATTTTCAACCATTTTGAATTTCAAAATACTATTTTGAACCATTTTTAACAAATTTTAAAGATATTTTTGATTTTTTGGAATATGTTTTAAACTATTTTGTAAATTCAAACCCTTATTGAAACATATTTAAAACAAATTAAAATAGTTTTAAAGACTTTTTGAAACTCAAATTTGAATTTAATTTTAGAAGAAAATTTTGCAATATAAATTTTTAATTTTATTTTTGAAAGTAGATCAAAACCTTTTTGGTAATATTTTGTACCTAGGGTACCCATATGTCGACTAGTAAATTTATAGTCGCACGTATAGCCTCGGATGACTAACACTTAGAGACTCTCGATTTATACTGGTTCACACAACGTGCCCTATGTGGCTACGTCTAGTTCAGTGGTGTTCGATCGTGTTTTGAGCACGAGGGATCGATGTTTGCAGTAGAGTTTAGAAAATAGGGTTGAAAGAGAGGGAGAATGAGTCTAGAATCAAGAGAAAGTAAGCCGAGAGACTGGCGTCTCTCGGTTTCGTGGGGAAGAAGAGACCCCGGATGTCCCTTATATTGTTGTGGGGCAGGGTTACACAGAGAGAGGGGAGGGGGATCTTTCATGCGGTGCGAGCCCTGGAGAGTGGTCCGTGTTGTTGCAATACAACACGTTCCTTTATGGGAGGCCATGCCTCCATGTTGTGTAGAACAACGGCTTGTTGTGGGAGTCTCTCTCAACCATGTTGATGTGAGGAGGAGGATGGACTTACAAACATATCAAAACCCTTTTACTTGGCATAAGATGAAAACCATGGTCAACAAGTGTGTATCTCACTGCCCCATTTGTCAA